AATTATGAATTATAAAATTTGTTCTTATTTTAACCAAGCCATAAAATTTACAACCAATTTGAAAGATGTAAACCTTGAATTCTTTTCTCCTCAAGGTAAGGCTTTGGGAAGTCAAGAAGAAAAATAATTTGGAGAAACCACTGATCAAAATAAGTGAATAGGTTATTGCACATTTGTTCACAACATCTAGGAGACAATGAATTCATATTAAGAAAATTATATATAAGAAATTATAGAATATTTTTTGTCATTAGATGCTAGCCTTGGTTCCTGATGACCACAGAACCAGTATATCAGCCCTGGATTGCACACTTCTGGACTTCTGTCTCATAGAGACCACTGTTATGGGCTCTGTTATGTGCAGTCAAACTTAATCCTAACGTACTATGGGTTGCCTTCATGAATTCTTACTGCCCTGCAAGGTAGGTATTACCATCATTCTTGTTTTTACAGTTGAAAAAACAAAGATTCAGAGTGGCAAGTAATCAGCTTTGGAAAGAGCAAAACGTTATTGTAACAAAACTGGAATGAGATTGGGGCCAAATTATAGAGTATCCCAAACATCATCTGATCAGTGGTGGGATATAAGCAGTGTTCAAGAAAGGTTTTCCTCAGTTCTATGAGGGATGGTGTAAGTTGTGATCAATTAAGCAATCATTATGTTTGTTTAAGGACAAGAATGCAAATACAAAGTGGGGAATAGATGAGAGCCCAGGCAAGTAAAAGTGAAGCCTGCGATTCATTGAGTGTGATGTGGGAGTCAAGATGAATCATCTTTGGAGCACTTCCTTATATTATAAGAAAAGATGTTTAGTGCTCAGTTTTGCACTTTCAAAATATATCAATTACAATAAATATATTAACATTGAGTGTTTGCCTAATTAAGTGCCATATTTGTTAGTAAACTTCTATAGATATAACTTGCTTCCTTTGACCAAAATTCTCATGGACCAATATTTTCCCTACTGCCTTTGAATTTTCTCTGTCTCACTTTGATAAGACATTTATATTTGCAAATTTATCCAAGTTGTGTAAACTAACTCATGCATTTTGAGTCTAATATTGAGCCAGTAATATACCAGTTATCCTATCAAGGCAGATTGCTGCAGATACATTTTGACCAGGGAGTCAAATGTATTATCTGACCAGGATAATAAGGGAGTATATCTAGACCCAAGCAGAACAGCATCTAAGGATTTCCATAATCATGTGGGCAACTAATAATAGCCACAGCTCGACCTGTGGATGGATGGTGGCAAGAAGCATGAAGGTGAGCACAGAAGACTTCAGTCTTGAGGATCTTTGAAAAAGGATTTGTGGTAGGAAGATCGGGGATTGAGTTTTGGTCCAGTAATTTATCAGTCGTGTGACTTAGGGCAAGATGCTATAGCAATGTTCTCATACATAAAATGGGTATAATACTTCCAATATAAAATTGCCCATTACGTGGTAGGGGCTCATAAATGTTTGTTAAATCTGAGTTTTTTATTCTAACTGGCAAAACAAACATTAGGAAGAATTTCAGCAATCTAAAAAAATAAAAATTGAATAAATGCAGACACTCTATGTTCTTAGAAGATTAAATAATGTAAATGTCAATTCCTATCAAATTACCTTACAGTGTTAAGTATAAGTTTAGTAAAAATGGTAAGAGAATACTTTTTGGACATGGAAAAGTACTTGAGAAGAACAAATAGGTAGGTATATAAAACAAGATTCTAAAAAAGGAGTAGGGGATTAGTGAGAGAAAGACAGTAAGGAAAAGCTCTAACAAATATTAAAACAAAAATTATAATAGTTAAATGAGTGAACAGGCACAGATAACTTCAATGGTACATCCCAGAAGTACACCCTATTATTACATAAACATTCAATAATTTAAAAAAGGAATCACTGCAAATCAAATTCAATTCATGAATTTGGATATAACAATTTTGAAAGAAAAGCTAAGTAATGTCTCAACTCATACTGTATGCTGCTATAAATAGATAAATATAAAACCAGAATATAACACAGAAACAAAAGTTTATTAAATTATTGGATCAATTAAAATTTCAATTAAATTTTGAAGAGATAGAAGAGTTCACAAAGATAAACACTAAAAAATTTGATTAAAGGAAAATGAAAAGCTTTTGTAAGTTAAACAAAAAACCTCCAACCAATACCAGATATATTAAGAAATATATATTAGGAAAAAATTGTGTCAACATGACAAAGTATTAGTATTACTTAATAATTCAAATCTCATACAAATGGAAAAAACCCCCCAAAACTGAGCAACTTACTTGGGTTTATTATTTTGGCACATTGAGGATCTATATAAATAAGTTTGGCAAGTTTGACAAATTCACTCATACTCATGAAAGAAAGGTAAACAAAAAATTCACAGTAGTGTGAAAGATTTCAAGAAATACCTGGGGAGTGTATAGCTGCTAACAGATCAGTTTGTACATCAAAAGTTAACTTTGCTCCTAATTTCAACATAGCTAATTAAATAAATTACCGAACAGCCTAAAATTCTTCTTCCTCTCTTTGTCCCCCACATCCTGCAAAAAGATAAAGCACCCAAAATAAGCAAGCCCTGAATAAATGGTAGTAGTCAGCATCAACAAATTAGTTAACTGGTAAATAATGGAATAAATGCAAAATATAGTCCTTTAGAAAAGATTTTTATTTTCTTGGCACACACATAAAAATGACATTTGTCTACTAGATAGAGCAGTTGAAGACATATCAGAAATGCATTGCAGTTCACATAGGTTATAATGCTCATAGACAGGATGACAGGTCTCATGTTTCCTCAATTATCTTTGAAATGTATTAAATTATTGCAGCATACTGGTTAAACTGGCAAACTTCTCAAGTTAAAAAGTAAGAATGATTTGAATTAATTAAGAACCAAGGCACAGAACCATTTTCAATATGTAATATAATGGTACCTCGTCCAACATCACTCAGGAATGAAGTATTCTATTTAAATGTTTTTTAGTCAACATTTATTCCTCTAAAGTCTAAAACTATTATTTTAACAACCTTTGATGAAGTAATGTGTAACATGCCTCTTAAACTTTAAAATAGGCCATGCAGATTATAACAATGTTCTTTCATTAATATTTCTAGTAATATGAATCATTTAATTTTCTACTGCAACACGATATCCTAAAAATTTACTGAGGTGGATATTTGCCCTACCATAGATAACCCAATATGGTTATGTATTTAAAATTGTCAACTTGTTTGACAATTATTTATTTATTAGAGTTAATATATTCATTTACTTATTTATTTATCACATTTAATCATCAGCCAGCCATTGCTTCTTGCTTTTATATTTAACATATTTAATGTTGGTTTTCGGTTACTTTTCTTACGACTTTTAATATAGGAGTTAAATTAGAACAATAGAACTATGTGAATCTTTGATGACTAATGGTTCTGCCTCTCAAGGAAGGTCATTCTTTTTAACTGCACAGGTTAGAGAAGGTTATACATTGAGCAATAAAGAAGGAAGGGAAACTTGGAAATCAATGTGTTTATAGACAGTGGTTAGATTACTATCACAACGGTCATTAAATCTGTAGGATTTAATCTGCTTTAGGTTGGGAAACCAGGAACTAAGCTAGTTAAAACTAAAGGAGGGTCGAGAATGGGTATTTGGTATCTGAAGCATTTTTACATTTTTACTACCCAGAAGTTTTAGCTTACTTGTTTTTTTTCTTTATTTTTACTCCTTCTTCAGAGTTAAGGTGGTTGGATATGTGACCTCTAGCTGAGAAAAGTGTTATTGCACCATTATTTTAACTATAAATACACAATTGAATAATGAAATGGATTTTTGCAACTATTTCCTTTCAACTGTAAGTATAATGATCTAATTTAAGAGCCTTCTTGAGACAAAAACAGACAGTAAAAAAAAAATTCATCTAGAAAATAAGTACTATTAAAAAATGTCAAATCATATAAATGTTAAAAGCCTTTTTCCTTTATGACTTTTCCAGATTTAAGGTATGTTAAAATAACAGGAAAAGCTTTTCAAATGATTATACTGAATTCAAGATAACTACTGAATTCATATCTCTATTTATATTATGTTAAGATTGTTCTCAGTGTTAAACTTGTCAACACATTTTGGTTACTAGGAAACCAGTATAATACACTTTCACACACAAACTAAAAATAGTTATTAAGTTTTAGAAAACTAATATAGTATTTTTTGTCTTTAAAGTTCTCATAAACATAGCCAACAATTTGCATTACGAAAAGGTAAACCATCTCATAGTAGGACACTGGCACTCAAGACTAATTTTATAAAACTGTTTTTAGAAAATAAATTCCTAATGCTTTGTGGTTTTTTCATATATCCTATGCATCATTAGCACAAGTAAATTATGTTAAATATACTGTTGGAATTCATTATATTAAAAACATGTTAATATATCAGTGAAAAAAATAAAAGCACATTATAAACATCTGTGCTCCAGTTATGAACATATATTGCAGGTGGACACTTCTATGATTCAGCATTCATTTAGTATCTATTGAATGCAGTGTGGAAGGTGCTAGAAATACTATAGTAAAAGTATTAATTAACCACAGCCTATTTGGTATATACTGTTACTGAAGAAAATATATACCACCATTTAAAGATACTTTTCCATTTCTTTCGTTATTACATTCTCATATTTCATTTTCACTTATGTACAAATAGAAGATTACATGATTTTTTCTTTTTCAAACTCTGGATTTCAAATTATTGATTTTTCTAGGCATTTGAAGAATACTTCCTGAATTCAAAAGACAAACATCCTATTTTAAAAAAAAAAAAGAAAAAGAAAAACCAATGCTTTACAGTCTTAGCTAAAATGGGCATCAGTATTATATGAATGAGGTTTTAAGAATGACTTTTAGCATGTGCGTATAAAGCATTTACATTACATTATTACCTTGCATTCAACAATAAAATTGATTGCATACTTAATGCAATCATATGCATGAGTCAACTATAAATCATAGAGTGTTTCAAGAATAGCAGCAATTGACCAGGCTTGTGTTTCACAGCTGAAAGGACAGTATTGGCCATTCTCGTTGGTCAGTTCTGGAAGTCCTTTCCAAGGGGATCTTAAAGAAAGAAAAGCCATTTTATGAGATATAATCAAACACATATCTTGTTGGATTAACAAAATAGCAATACACCTGGGTGATTTTGCCTTCTCTTTTAGAAAACAATATGTACTCATTTACTACAAAATAAAACAGAATATCCTAAAGCTTATGTCTAAAGAATTTAGACTGAAATTATTCTTTTATATTCAATCTTTTGGATTTAAGACTTTCAATTACAAAGGAATCCCTTTATGTATTAAAAACAGAGGAAACTACCATCCCAAGCAATATATAAGTATAGATACAAACATCCTCTCAGGCTTAATTTTATTTCTTTTGGAGTAAGTTTATGAGACTCAAATTGTAATTATGTGACTGTATTATGTTTGATCTTGACAAAATTATAAAATGAATATGAAATGATGAAGAAACACTGGATTATGACTAGGAAAAGAATGCCAATTAAAAACAATCTAAATTTCCATACTAATTTCTCATTATCCTGGATAATAATACAGTTAGTATTTATTGTGCATTTATTATGTTCTAATACTAAGTGCTTTATATACATTATCTCATTTAATGCTCACAGCAACTCTATAAGGTAGGTATCATAACTATTCCTATTTATAGAGGAGGTAAGAGAAGTTTATGAAGGTTAATGACTTGTTCCAGATCTTACTATCAAAACACAGCATTATTAGCATATCAAATTTATTCTTCATTTTGATGTAATGTAATCCCTTAAATATGAAATGAAAATTTAAAAAAATACAGAATTCTGTAATGTTTCATTTTTTTGGTTCATATTTTATTTCATTATTATGCTTTGTAACTTACATATACTTTTCTGAAGATATGAAATATTTCATAATAAAAATGAAAAAATGATTCAATTAGGTAAATATGGCAATATTTTGAATAATAATATAAGCTAGGTACCATATTTCAAAAAACTGTCATAGAGAAATAGAAAACATAGAAAACTTATTCATTTTCAAGTGTTCAAACTACTTCAGAGTAACATGTCAGATTACTGAAGTTGGGTTCCTGAGTATCTATAATGGGCTAAATTGTGTCCCCCTCAAAATTCATATGTTGAGTATGAATTCTCAGTACCTCAGAATGTGAACTTATTTGGATATAGGGTTGTTGCAGATGTAACTAGTTAAGGTGGATCAGCGTGGGCCCCTAATCCAATATGACTGGTGTCCTTACAAAATAAGGAAATTTGGACACAAACGTGAACACAAGGAGAATGCCATGAGAAGACTGGAATTATGCTGTGCAAGCCAAGGAAATGCCAGAAGCTAGGAGACAGGGCTGAAAGAGATCCTTCCCTAGTACTTTCAGACAGAACATGGTCCTGCAAATGCCTTGATTTCAGATTTCTGGCTTCCAAAACCATAAGAGAACACATTTCTGTTGTTTAAGCCACTCAGTCTGTGGTGCGTTATTACAGCAGTCCTAGCAAACTAATATAGCACCAAAATTAAGAAACAAAACAAACTTACAGAACCATTAAATGCTGCTCATAATTGGATATGAACACAAGAACGTGGAAGATACCCATACTTGTATAAAGAAGTCCCCTTTCCCTTGCTTTCTGAAAAATTCATTCCTCAAGTCATTAGGTGGGACCAAGAAGGTCAGTAACTACAGTTGAGGAGGGAAGGAGAGAAGGGTAGCAGGAGTAGCACTGAGTAGAATGTTAGAGTCTAGGGGGTATGAGGAAGGAGTTCACAGCAAGTGTGGGGGTAGTCCAGAGCCCAAGTGGTGCAAGGAGAGCATCCATGCATAAGAGTGGCCTACATGGGGTTGTCAGGCCCAAGGAAGGTGAAGAGGGCATCTATGTCTTGTGGCACCCCAGCATGGGATGTCAGAGCTAGAGCAGGGTGAGCTGGGTCCATGTGGTGGCGACAGCAGAGTATATGAAGCAGTAGTTTTTAAGACACTGAATATTAAGCAACAAAGAAGAATGATTCCTAAGAAATAAGAAAAAAATTGAAGTGAGTCCTATGATTACTATACCTTCCTGTCTTGAGAGAGCTTCTAGGATTTGACAAAGGGAGGGGAACCCAGGTGGATCCTGGCAGACCCTTTGAGCTGAAGAGATGGAATTGATGAGATTCCAGAAAGACCAAGACAGCTAGAATTTTCAGTTCAGAGTACTAGAGATGAGATAATTGCACAGAGAACTCTGGAGACATGTAAAGGGTCCCACTCAAGTATTCGCAGCATAATCATCAGCAAATACACAAGAGAAAACTAACCAAGGATGCGGAAAGAACCACCCAAAAGTATTAGATGAAGTAGTACCTGCCATTCAGAGAGGGTCAGGAACAGTGCTTATTCCCACCAGGTAGATTTGAAAACTTTGTAATTTTAGGGAAATGGGATAGAGAACTCAGATGAGTGTTGACTCATCAGTGTAGACTAATTAGTCCTGAACTAAATGCTGTCCTGGTTAGGTCCAAAAAAAGTTAAAATCAAGTCCTGAAAAGATCAGGCTGTTTCCAAATAATTTAACTGCATTCCAAACTAAAGTTCAAGAATATTTATGGAAATACAGAAAAAAATCCAACATCCAAGAAAGTAAAATTTACATCTAGCATCCAATAAAACACTAACAGGCAAAGAGTAGGATAATATTAACCATAATAAGAGAATATCACGAGTGAAACCAACCCAGAAATCAATTAGCAAACAAAGACATTAAAATAGTTACTGTAACTGTATTCCATATGTTCAATATATTAGGCAGAGACATGGAAGATATACAAAAGACCCAAATCAAACTTCAAGAGATGAAAACTACAATGTATGAAATGAAAAATACACTGAATGAAATTAATGGCAAATTAGATACAAGGATGACAGCAGATTTCTTGTCAAAATAATGCAACAACTTTAAAGTACTAGAAGAAAAACTTGTCAACATTGAATTCTATACACAACAAAAACACCTTTCAAAAAATGAAGGCAAATACTTTTTTGACATACAAGAGCTTAAAGAATTCATCATGAGCAGACCTGATATAATAGAGGAAGTCCTTAGGCAGAAAAAAATGATACCAGATGGAAATATGGATATTCACAAAGAGATGAAGAACACTGGCAACTATGTATTTATATAAGACTTTTTTCTGTGTTATTTAAATAACCTCAAAAGATAAATGATTGAAAGAAAAATATAACAATGTAGTATGGGCATTATAATATATGTAAAAGCAAAATAGATGACAATAATAGCATACAGGTCTGAAGGGAAGAAATGGAACTATACTATTTTAAGGTTCTTATAGTACACTTGAAGAGCTATATCTTCACTTGAAAGTAAACTATGGTAAGTTAAAGATGTATACTATACACCTAAAGCAAACATTCAAAAAACTGAAATAAGAATAGCTAATCAGCCAACAAAAGAGATAAAATGGAAACAAAATAATCAGTCTAAAAGAAGTAGGAAAAAAGAAAAAGCTAACAAAGAACAGGCAGGATAAACAGAAAGTAAATAGATTTATACTTAACCATATAAATAATCACATTAAATGTAAATGGTCTAATCATCCCAATTAAAAGGAAGAGATTATCAGGCTGCATAGATAAATAAGACCCAATTATATGCTCTATGTATAAGAAACCTACTTTGAATATAAAGAAACAAAAAGGTTAAAAGCAAAATGATGGAAATATATATATCATTCTCACAACTAATCAAAAGAAATCTGGAGTTATAATAACTATAAATAGAGTATAACCTTTAAAAATTGTGAATCACTATATTGTACACCTGTAACATATAATATTGTACATCAACTATACTTCAATTAAAAAAACAGATTCACACACACAAAAAACCTGGAGTGCTTATATTAATATCAAACAGAGAGGATTTTGGAGCACAGGCATATTGCCAGTGATAAAGAAAGTCATTTCATAATGATAAAAGGGTCAATTCATCATGAGAACATAATAATTCCAAACACTTATGCATCTAATAATAAGGCTTCAAAATACCTGAAGCAGAAACCCATACAACTCCAAGGAGAAATAGACAAATCCATAATTGTAGCAGAAAATGCCAATACCCCTCTCTAGGTAACAAGCAGACAGAAAATCTGTGAGTACTTTGTATAACACTACCAACCAACTTGACCTAGTCAACATTTTAAGAACACTCCACCCAACGACAGCAGGAGGCACAGTTTTTCACTTGCAAAGAGTTTAGTGACCTAGTTAGAACATATTCTGCATCATATAATAAGTATCAATAAGTTTAGAAAGATAAGTCATATTAGATATATTCTTTGACCACAATAGAGTTAATTTTGAAATCAGTGACAGAAACATCTCTGGACAATTCCCAAATATTTGAAAACTAAATAACACCTTTCTAAATAACACATGAGTCAAAGAGGAAACCAAAGGGGAAAACAGAAAGTGTTTCAACTGAATTAAAAAAAGAAACACAACACATCAGAATTTTGGGGTATTGCTAATTTAGTACATAGTGGGAAATTTATAGCACTAAGTACCTATACTAGAAAAGAAGAAAGGTCTTTAAATCAATGACCTCAACTTATACCTTGAAAAAACAGAAAAAGACAAATTAACCTGAAGTAAGTAGAAGAGAATAATAAAAAGTAGAGCAGAAATCAATAAAATAGAAACTGAAAACCAATACAAAAAAGAAAACCGATGAAATCAAAAGCTGGTTCTTTAAGAAGACCAATAAAATTGATAAGCCTCTAGTCAGGCAGATCAGGAAAAAAAAAGAGAAAATACAACTTATCAATATCAAGAATGAGAATATTATTGACATTACTACAGATTCTATAGACAATTTAAAAAGTAATAATGCACTTTAGATGAAACCATTTCTTGAATTGTGACTTTTTTTTTTTTTTTTTTACTTATTCTATCATTTATTGAGGAAAAAGTTTTACATATTAGGGTAAAGCAGTAGAAAGCAGTGACACGGAACCCTATCATTTCCAGCCTCATGTAGCCAACAGAACAAGCCTTGAGGACTCATTGCGGACAGTGCTGGCCGTTCACCTCCCCACAGGTGACAAGTATTTTTGGTCTATCTTTTCATTTAGTCTTGACAGCAAGTAATGAGATATTATTCTCATTTTATAGATGAAGAAATTTATTTCAGAGAGGTTAAGTAACTTGTTCAAAGTCACATGCAAAAATAAGCAGCAAGGACAGAATTTGAAATTTAATCTGAAACCAAAGCTCATAGTTAAAGCATATTATGCTATCAAAAGTAGCTACAGGAAACAGCAAGAAATAAAAATGGAAAGGTAGTTTGAGAAAAAATTATGGAAACTAAAGAATTTGGATTTCATTCTGTAGCCAGTGGGGAGTTACTGAAGATTTTTAAACGTAAGATTAAAATTGTGAGTTATATTTCCACAAGATTGACCTTGTTTGGGGTAATATGACAAAATGCAGAAAAGAGAGTGGAAGTATGGAGGTTATTGCCTAGTCCATAGAAAAGGTTATGAGTTACAAATCAGGCATTGGCAACAGAAAGGAACACGGTGGGCTGTTAGAAGGAACAGAACTATAATCAAGTCTCGACAACTATCTGGATGTTCTGGAGAGGTAATGAAGTAAAATTTAAAAGTACCTGGGGTGTTTGAGCTTGCAGAGCATGAATAATGGTAATACTGTAACAAAGATGGGAACTATAGGAAGAAAAAACGTGTGAGAGAAAATAAGTGATGGCAGAAGGTCATCTGAGGTAACAAGTTTATCAGGTAGCTAAAAAGAAGTGGAGTTTATGAAAGTTAAAAATTACCTGAAGAGTGAAGATGTGAAATTAGGTGAAATATAACAGAAGACAAGGTAGATAGAAAAGAAAGGAAGATCAAGGATAGAGTTTTGGAGAATGAACATATATTTAGGTGCCAGGAAGCAAAGCCAGAAAAACAGTAAATAGAGCCAATAGTGTAGTGGTTAAGAGCACAGCCTGTGAAGCCAGCTTGCCTGGAGTTCAGTAAGAGCTCTACCAAATTACTTGCCATTTGACTTTGTATAAATTACTTAACTTTCTAAGCTTAATTTATAAAATGGAGACAGTAGCTCATATCTTGAGTTAGTATCTTGTCCGTGTTACATATACTAATATACTAATCCTCAAAACAATACCAGCACATTCATTTAAGATGAGGAAACTGAGGCTCAGAGAAGTTAAGTAACTTTCCCACAGCCACATAGCTAGTAAGTGCAGATGTGAATAACAATAATAGGATAATAATAATAGTAGTAGCTATTTTATATAGTTTTTTGGATGAAATGAGTAATGTTATATGAATGCATTTAGAACAATATCTGAAGATAGTAAGTACTCAATAAATATTATTTGCTATTATTATAGTTGTTACTATTACTAGGTTAACAAGAGAAACCTAATGCTGTGGCTAGCATAATGTTTTTCATGAAAAGAGGAAAGCAACAATGTCAAATACTATAGCCAGGTCAAAGAAGAGAACTGAAAGGAAGTCATGGGATCTGGGAACCAGAAAGGATCTTCTTGAGTGGCTTCACCAGAGTGGTGAGGGCAAAACAAAAGCCAGATTGTATGTGGTGAAGACAGACTGGGTGTCAGAAAAGAAAAATAAATGAGGTTAATTGTATAGAAAATGTACTGAAAAGAGAACAGAATGATAAAACAAGGCTTGAGGCAGGAACAGCATGAAGGGACTTTATTTTAGGATAGGCTGACAGATATCTTTGTAGCTTAGGAAGAAGGGATCAAGTGGAATACCAAGAAAGGATAACTATTTGACAAGGTCATGGAACAGGTAGGAGGTATGTGATTATAGGTAAAGTAGAAGAATCATCTCTGCAGTGCAAGATATTCTTACTCCTCATGGAAAAAAAGGAAGAAAGAGAAAAGTAATGCAAATATTGAGAAATACTTTGGCCAGTAAAGGATGGAATATAAGAATGTTCACATCACACAGACTTCAGACTTAATCTCTAGATGAGGTAGAAGTGTGACAGGATTAGGGTTTCTGTGACTATACTTAAGCTAATGAAAATAAACTTTAAATAAAAAGAAAAATTTTGACAACATTCATGTTGCTAGATGGAAGTCCCTCATGTTCTTATAATAGAGGAGATAAAACTATGTTGTTTATGCATATTTATGCATAATTATTCTGAGCAATAAGATGTACATATATCCAGGTTTAATCTAGAACTTGTGAAATTAAGATACCTTTTGACTGAGTTATATCATCTTATAAAGACACATAAATCTGATACTATTTATCTGCTAATAATTAGGACAAAGGAGGTGACAAATGGGTTTGAAATAGTCAAAACACCAACACTGATATTTTAATTATAATGAAATCATTTCTGAAGATTATTTATTGATATATCTTTAAATCAGTTAACTCAAAAGGCCCAGCCTGAGACTTTTAGTTTTTGTATCTATCCTGTGCTAACCATATACAAAAATATCAGCTAAATTTTAAAAACCAAAGATTATTCCACCACATGTATAAATCATGCAATATCAAGTCTTTAAATTAAATAACAACCTAAAATAATTAAAAGAAGGTGAAAATTACATAGAACTTGTGTTAAAGAGTAAAGCTTTCAAATTTCACATAGAATATACTGAAATGAATTCTAAGGAAATGCCATTTACTAGCTAATAAATTGACTAAACATTAATTTTTTTTTTTTTTTGTGGTACGCGGGCCTCTCACTGTTGTGGCCTCCCCCGTTGCGGAGCACAGGCCCTGGACGCGCAGGCCCAGCGGCCATGGCTCACGGGCCCAGCCGCTCTGCAGCATGTGGGATCCTCCTGGACCGGGGCACGAACCCGCGTCCCCTGCATCGGCAGGCGGACCCTCAACCACTGCACCACCAGGGAAGCCCCTAAACATTAATTTTGAAAATTACATGCCCTGGCGACTTACCTCTCAAGATGAACATAATGTCGAGAAAGAACATTTTTAACCAAAAATATAGTCTTTGAAGTAATCTCGGGACCCATCAATTTGGAAAAATATAATTTCGCACGAAGAAAATACCCAACAGGCCACAGCCACTCCTGAAAAAGATAATTTAAAAGTGAAGAAAAAAAAAGAGCTGTGGATATCAAAAATTCTTTGAAAAATAACTTTAATTGAAAACTCAAAGAAGAAAAATTAAATTCTTACAGGTCCTTGGTGATAATTGAAACCTTTAGCAAGACTGTAGTTGTCGTTGTCTAAGGCATTGTCATAAGTTCCACAGTAAACCATATCACTGCAAAATAATTGAAATTTAGGTTAAAAAAAGATCAGGCATTACACAGAAAGCATTAGAAAAATTTCCTAATAGCAAAGGTAAGAACTAATCAAATTAGTTTGTTTTCCAATCTCTAGACTAAAGCTCATCATCCATTTAACCTTAAATTAGTATATACTGAGTTCAGAATGTGTTAGGGAATGATTAAGAAACACTTACTGCCTAATACAAAAAATATAAAATATTCAGATATCTTGCCTTCAAGGAGGCACTAAATATTGGTTGAATTTAATTATTTCACTAGGCCTCTAATATACTTATAACAATTAAAATATACACATAATAATTTGAATTAGTAAACATTAAAGATAAAGTTTTATTAATTATTATATATTGGAAAGGTTGTTTTTTAAACTTCTCCATGAAGTTATTTTAAAATTAAGTAAACTTGGTACATTATTAGATTATAAATAGCAACTAAATGCACACAATTTACACATACTTGCAAATTAAAGTTACAAACACTGCAACATTTAATACAAGACAGTTATCTACACTCTGTTTAATTAAATTATTACTTTCTTTTTTCTTTTAGTGAGATAGATAGAACTTGCAATGAGTAAGCTTTTACTGTGGGTTTTAGGTTTGACCAGTGGTTCTTAACACCTCTGAAAATATTGAGAATACTTTAGAACGCAGATAAGTACACACATATAAAATTTTGCATCTCAATACTGAAATGAGTACACAATAAGTCAGGAAAAATCTACAAAGGTAAAGATACTACAAAAATGAGGATCTCTCATACATAAAAGAGAAAGCAAATTGATGACGGGTATCAAGCTTTAAAGCAAAAAAGTAGAAGAAAAACAGAAAGGTCATTAGAAACTCAAAAAAAATTGAAAAAGAGAAGAAATACAAAATGAGATAAACACATAATCATAAAAGCAAAATTATTTATTGGTTTCAGTAAAAATAATGGTGTAATTACTTAGAGAGGATGGAAAGGGTTTGTGGCAAGGTAAGGACAGAGTTAAATCCTCATCTGTCATCGCAAGCAGTAAGCAAATAATGTCTAATATTTAAAAGAATCAAGAAACAGGTGCAAACATATACCATTTAGAAATATGGAAGGAACTACTACGAGCAACAATTTAGAAAATCAAGGTTGTCTCTGAGGAGACAATACATCTATATTTCCAATGTTAATGATAATCATGTATGACTTTTACAGTCAGAAAAAACAGGCATTAGAAAATATTCATGACATATTAGTTTATAAAATTAAAATTCTTTTACTGATTACTGAATATAGGACAAGCCAAAGGCATTTTGAACACTGATGTTTAATGAAGATACAAAACGGATTTTTAAAAATTCAGTTTGAATGCAATTTTAGAGATTTTATTGATAAGCAAAAAAATTATGGCTTGATGCAATAAAATATCCACAACATTCTTAATACTTATACTCTAACTTACTCTGGATCCAAAGTTTTCATGCCAATATGAATATAATTGTATATTAAGTATAATATGAACAAAATTCTTAATACTTATAACTTACTCTGGATCCAAAGTTTTCATGCCAAGAGGACCAAGCAATTTTTCTCCTGCAATCTCCAAAGCTTTCCATGCTTTTTCTGTAGTAAAGAGCTCAGGGGCCTAATGAGTGTTAAAAACAAATATACAAACTTTTTAAGATCACAGAAGAATTAGTGTCCACCCAATTTGGAAAATAGACTATAAACTTGGAAAATAACGAAAACTTAAAAAATACAGTGCGGGTCAGAAATCAAGTGCAGATGCCTAATCAGACCTAATCCTATCAGGTCGACCTGGAAGCGCTGATCTTGGCCTTAGAGGTTAGGAAAGCTGTTTGAGGTGATTGTTTCCTTGTGTCACTTAAGAAAATATACTAGCTCCAGAATGAAGCTGTCACAGCTACAGTGAAGGCAGAACACATTTAAACCCATATAATTCATTCTTTAGAAGATTTACAATAGCTTCCTTTAAGTTCATCTGGAACTCATTTTTTGCTTTTAGGGTCATAATATAATACAGAAGGATTTGCACTCCAATAGCATGAGTAAATTTACTTGTGATGTAGAGAAGGAGAGAAAGCATTGGTGACTAAGAATCTGCATTAATTTTAAATGTTAAATGAAATCAAATGCACACTGAATCAAAGCTACCATTATGTACCTTAGTATTTTTTATTCTACTATAATTAATAATACTACATTTAATACTCTTTTTGACAAAGTGGCAACATCTAGGCGGGCATAGAAGAACACATACCTTCTCTATTTTACTGTATTTTTAGACAAGGTATAGAGAAAATAAGGAGTCTAGCTTTCTTGGCTAGACAGAACTCATTAGTGCAATACAACAAAGAAAACGGAATGTGAATTGAAGCTACCCATATTAGTTCATTAGTCCAGATGTTTCTAACTAGTGTGCTGAGGCACTGGTCATGGCACAGGTGTGCTGAAATACAGATGCCCTCTGCTTTCAAGACAGCTGGGTAGGGCCTGGGGCTAACTGAAGCAGCTGGATCTGGCAGCAACCTAATCCATTTGGGCCAGCGTGCTGTACAAATATCATCATTTTCTATGTGTGTTATTGAGAAGAACTTCATTAGTCATCATCCATTATTTTCTATTTTTTGACACCAAATGTTATAGGTTAATGGTGATATGCATAATGCTTTATTCATTAGAAAAGACCATATAAAACTAGCTGGTAAACAATGCACTTTTTAGCAATTCAATGAATTTGAAAACAAATGGGAATAAAGAACTAAATAAACCCTATCATAACATTTTTGAAATTTGAAAAGAACAGAACAAATCACTTACCACAACCATTGCTATGGTAAAATTAGGCCTGAGCTGGTAGTCACACCAAGGGCTTGAAGCTCCATAACTATCTTTGTATATGCCACGTTTATGCACCAGATTAGAATGCTTTTCATTGACATCAGAAGGGTCTTCTGACACATAAAATAACTTTTCAAAGTTATCTTGTATTTTTCTGTTCCACTCATCATATGAGACTCTCACAACTTTTCCTGAAACATTACAAAAGACTTGGTAGTTTTAGGCATTCAAAGAAACCCATACATTTAGTTACAGCTAAAGAGTAATATTTAGTCAATAAATTATCCACTTTTTAAAACTGTCAGGGCTTTTTGAAGAACACTACCCAGAAATTAAAAATTATCTTTCACTGTATTACCAAAAAAGAATTAGACTCTAACAAATGATCCCAGATCATTTGTCTTTGTTTGGATCATTCTTACATTTGATAAAATTATCTTTATTGAGCACGTGAAAGGAGGCTAGTCTGAATTGAGAGGTGCCAGAAGTATATACTGTATTTATATATATATATATATATATATATATATTTATATTTATATATATGCTGCATTTCAAAGACATAGTACCCCCCAAAAGAATGTAAAATAGTTCATGAATAATTTCATATTGATTACATGTTGAAATAATATTTGGTATATACTGAGTTAATAAAAAAATATAATCATAATTAATTTCACCTGTCTCTTTTAACTTTTTTAAAATGTAGGTACTAGAAAATTTTAAATATATATGTGACTTAAATTATATTTCTATTGGACAGCACTGCTCTAGAAAAAGAGATGTAAAGATTTCATAACTGTTCACCAAAACTTGACTTGCTCACAGTCATACTGAGGAAAAAAAAATAAGTATGATGCTCTTCATATCTCAGTTTAAAGTTGCTATAAAAATATGGTTAATAATCAGGTTTGTTACAGTTTTCATACTAGTAAATTAATGGTTTGTCTTTCCCCTTAATCTTAAGGGTTTTCTAATACTAGTTCATTGAGTCACATGATTACATAGGTTAAGAATATAGACAGTACATTTGGAGTTTCTTTGTAAACAAAAGAAACAGCTTACCATGTCTTTTTACTGTAACTTCATGATAAGGAAAAATATTTTTTTGGGATAATTCCAGCAACCAACGAACAGCAGATTTACTCAGGCCCACAATTTCCACAGCAGACCCATCTCTAAAATTAAAAATAAATTTTACTCTGTGACAATGAGTAAATTAAGCACTATCTAAAGGGCATTCAGGGACTTCTCTGGTGGTGCGGTGGAAAGACTCCATGCCCAATTCAGGGGGCCCGGGTTCAATCCCTGGTCAGGGAACTAGATCACACATGCATGCTGCAATGAATCAGAGTTTGTATACCACAGCTAAGGAGCCCGCATTCCGCAACTAAGGAGCTGGCGAGCTGCAACTAAGACCCGGTGCAACCAAATAAATAAATAAATAAATAAATATTTTTTTAAGAAAGGGTATTCAAAAAACCGCTTTGAAGAATTATGTAACTAACACATTATAAAAATGACTGTCTATAAAAAAAATCCTCACTTTATAGGAATGTGCACTGCATATATAAGAAATTGTGATTCCCTTTGCTATACAGCAGAAACTGACGCAGCAGTATAAAGCAACTATACTCCAATAAAAAAAAAAATCATTCCTCTTATTACTTTGCCATTGCTTACCATCTTAATGTATTTTTAAAAAATTCTATGAAGTAGAATAGAGATTATGGAGTAAAAGGAGATAGTTGCTGGAAAAAGGCAGAAGTAGGAGTCAGAGAATACTGAGATAGAGTTCCAGTGAAATAGATAGAAAATACGGGATATTGGATTGAAGAAAGCCAGGGAAGGTGAACATCATAATTTGAAAGCTCATTTTTAAGGAAAATGAAAGGGAAGTATAAGATCTAATAATTCACCAAAATAAACAGGTTTTTAAAATAATTTGTAAAACATGTAATGACAACTACTATTCAAGATTTTTTTTTTGACAATTCTGATTAAATATAAAATTTGGAATAAGAAAATAATTTCTCAGACTTGATACTGTAGTAAGAACTTGAAATCATAAAAAGAAATGATGGGATAAAAGATTTAAAAATTAAGGGGAAAATGTTCAGAAAGTGAAAGGATTTCATAAAAGACAGGACAACTGGTTGTTTTCTATATTTACAAAAGATAATAATAATGAAATACTTATAAAGAAAACACTTCATGTTATAAAGAAATGTTTTAACCATGGGGATAAGTCATAAAACTTTCCTTTGAGGTGCCTGCAGGTAATCAACCCATGAGAACGTCCAGAAGAGAACAGATAGCTTTACTTGATGACTTATATCAAGAGGATTGTGTATGTGTATATTAGGGGAGAGAAAGGAGTGTGTGGAAGGGGAAGTAGGAGGAAGGAAGGAAGATTTTGACTAATTTAACATGAAGATTTCATGGTTAACAGAATAAAAGATTCCACAAGTATGTAGTTTTACAAATGATATAACTATATAAGCACTAAAAATAAACACTACCTTGGAGTGGCTGGGATTCCTTTGTTTCTAGCTCTGTCACTTTCTCCCATTTTATCCATCCATGTACCACAATTTAAGCGATTTCCTCCATAAACAAATCCTGTTTCTTCATCAACACCTGCAGTTATATTAAAACCTAAAAAAGAAAAATAAAACATTTATAAAAATATAATAAATTAGGACAACTACTCTAGAGAGCAATCTGGTAATACCTTAAAAGTTGAAGATGTGCATATTCTAGCACATAATAATTTCATTTCTAGACATACACTCTAGAGAAATGCTTACCTATGTGAACACTCAGACACATACAAGAATATACATTGCAACACTGCTTGTATTAGCAAGAAAATAAATAACTGCTGAGAAGAGGAACAGAAAAATCCTAGTCTAGTCATATAATGGAAAACTCTCTATACCATTTGATATTAATGAACTAGGATTTACATAAAGCAAGATGGATAAATCAGAATGACTGAGTAAATAAGTTGCAAAAGATATGTATAATAAGATGCCTTTTCTGTAAAAGTTTAAAATATAGATAACATTAACACATATAACCATGTATGTCTATATGGCTATGTCTAATATGATAATATTTGTATAAAATTAGAAAACATAAAATACATAATATATATACATTATATAGTATATACTATGGTATATTGAATATATGCTACATAATATATATCATACATAATTTACACATACTGAAACACACATAAACACACAAAATACAAAAACATACATGGAAATAGTAAATCCTGATTATAGGATGGTTGTTAATTCTAGAGAGTGAGGGAAGAGAAAGAGATAGAGATGAAACTTTAGCTGTATCTGTGGTGTTTTATTTCTTTTCAAAACAAAAGAGAAGGATCTGAAGAAAATCTGGCCCATTGTTAATATCTGTCTAATTTCAGTTCTAGGTTCAAAGCATAATTTACATCGTCATCTGTATGTTGAGATATTTCATAATTAAAATTAACAATTTAAATAACTCAGAGATGATGAACACAGATGCAAAAATCCTCAACAAAGTATTAGCAAACCAAATTCAACTTGAAAAAGCGTATACCATGATCAAGTGGGATTCACCCCAGGGATGCAAGGATGGTTCAATATTCATAGATTAATCAATGTGGTATCTATACATCACATTAACAAATTAAAGAATAAAAATCATATGATCATCTCCACAGATGCAGAAAAAGCTTTTGACAGAATTCAACATCCATTTATGATTAAAAACTCTCAGCAAAGTGTGTATAGAGGGAATGTACCTCAACATGATAAAGGCCATATATGAAAAGTCCACAGCTAACATCATACTCAATGGTGAAAAGTTAAAAGCTTTCCTGCTAAATTCAGGAACAAGACAAGGATGCCCACTCTCACTGCTTTTATTCAGCATAGTATTGGAAGTATTGGAAGCCACAGCAATCAGACAAGAAAAAGAAATAAAAGGAATCCAAATGGGAAGAGAATAAGTAGAACTGTCACTGTTTGCAGATGACATGATACTATATACAGAAAATCCTAAAGACACCACCAAAAGATGACTAGAGTTCATCAATGAATTTGGTAAAGTTGCAGGATACAAAATTCACATACAGAAATCTGTTGTGTTTCTATATACTAATAATGAACTATCCGAAACAGAAATTAGGAAAACAATCTCATTTACAATTGCATCAAAAAGACTAAAACACCTAGGAATACATCTAACCAAGGAGGTAAAAGACCTGTACTTGGAAAACTATAAGACATTGATAAAAGGAATCTAAGATGATACAAACTAATGGAAAATATACAGTGCTCATGGACTGGAAGAATTAAATTGTTAAAATGACCATACTATCAAGGCAAATTACAGATTCAATGCAATCCCTATCAAAATACCAATGACATTTTTCACAGAAGTAGTTCTAAAATTTGCAGGGAAACATAAAAGACCCCAAAGAGCCAAAACAACTTTGAGAAAGAAGAAAAAGATTCCCTTCAATGGGGGATCAAGGTGGCAGAGTAAGAGGAGGTAGAAATCACCCCTCTTTCCAAAACACATAAAAATATATATATACATTTGGAAAAATTCTCATGGAAAACTAACTGGAACCTGGCAGAAGAACTCCTTCACAACCAAGGCTGCAAAAATGATTTCCATGTAATCAGGTAGGATGAAAAGAAAGGCACTGGGTTGGAACCTGTGCCCCTGGGAGGGGAATAAGGGAAAAGGGAGATCACATGGGCAGACACTCACCCTGGGAAGTGAGTGGGTAGAGCCACAGACTGGGTGTCTGAGTTCTAGGGTCGTATATGGAGAAGACAAGCTCCCTTGGCTGTTTGGAGAACTCCTGGGACAGACAGAAAGGCTTGAGACACCCAGATTCCACTTGTGAGGAGTATGTGGGTGCTGGCTTTCCATAAGACAGGGTGAAGAGAGAGGTCTATCCTAGTAGCTATTGCCTCCTTGTGCTCCCCAATCTGAGCTGAGTAAACACCATGGCCCCACTCACTCCATGCCACAGCTTGGCACTGGATTTATGGCAGCCAGGTCCTGGGAAAAGACTCCATGCAGGGACACAGAAGGCAGTCTGGGGCCCTGGATTGTGGTCCAGGTAGGGTGGCAGTGGCCATTGTTGGCACTTACTCAAACAGTGCCAGAGAAGCAGCCTGGATTTCTGACAGGAGTGAAGCTGCTTCAATTCCCACAACCACAATGCCATGAATCCCAGTGCCAGCTGAGTGAATGCTTCAGCCCTGCCTACTCTATGCCATAACCTTGCACTAGATCTGGGATGACTACAACAGGGGAAAAAAATGTGATCTTGGACTATGTCTGAGTGGATGCCTACACAGGCAGCACACTGGACCTCTGTAAGTGTATGAGCCCCACTTATTATAGCACCCCCCCCCAACCTCTGGGGCAAAGGCCCCAGTGTGGGGAGAAGGAAAAATACACACTTAAAGGGAACAGAGCCAACTAGAGCCTGACCTTCAGGACACCTGCTCCAGAAACTTGGGAGCAGACCCTGACCCTGAAAGGGCAGTGACTGCCACTGAGCAGAGAAGAAATCCCACCTCACACCCTGTGTAGGCTCTAGCTCCTACAAGACCAGACCCCAGCCCCACCCCATATCAGGTGATGGTGGCCAGTACACCCGGAGGAAAGGTGTGGCTTGTGTCCACATCAAATCTAGCCCTCACGCTAAAGATATTTGGCACATGTAGTCCACACAGGGATGCCCTCACATAAAAGCACACTTTCAAGACCATGATAATAACTGTTTCACCTAAACTCATAGAGACAGAGAAAGTTAAGCAAAATGAAATAGTAAAGAACTCCCAACTGAAAGGGCAAGAGAAAGCCCCTGAAAAAATAAATAATGAAACAGAGATAATCAGCCTACAAGTGAGTTCAAAAAGTTAGTAATGAAAATGCTAACTGAATTAAGAAAGAGAATTGATCTAAGCATGGGATCATTTTAACAAGGAACGAAGACCCAATAAAGAAGAGATAATTCAATTTTTGAGATAGAAAACACTTGAGAAGCAATGAATAACAGACTAAATGACACAGAAGAATGCATACATGATCTGGAAGATAGAATAATGGAAATCATCCAATTAGAACAGCAGACAAAAAGACAAATGGAAAAAAAAAAGCAACATATGAGATCTATGGGCTAATATAAAATGTGTCAATATAGGGGTTCCAGAAGGAGAAGAGAGAAGGGAATCAAAAATGTATTTGAAGAAATTATGGCTGAAAACTTCCCAAACCCAAAGAAGGAAACAGATATCCAGGTATAGGAACACAGAGTGTCCCAAACAAGATGAACCCAAACAGGCTCACACTAAGACATATCATAATTAAAATGGCAAAAGTTAGGGATAAAGAGAATTCTAAGGCAGTAAGAGAAAAACAGAGAGTCATATACAAGGGAACTCCTATAAGATTATCAGCTGATTTCTCTGCAGAAACTTTGCAGGCCAGAAGGGAGTGGCATGATATATTTACAGTCCTGAAAGGGAAAAACCTACAACCTAGGTTACTTTGTCAAAAATTAATAAACCTTTAGTCAGGCTCATCAAGAAAAAATAGAGAGGATCCAAACAAACAAAATAAGAAATGAAAGAGGAGAAATAATAAATGATATCACAGAGATACAAAAATTCATAAGAGAATACTATGAATAGTTATATGCTAACAAATTGGATAGTCTAGAAGAAATGGACAAATTTCTAGAAATATACAGCCTGCCAAGACTGAGTCAAGAAGAAACAGACAATTTGAACAGGCTGATTGCTAGAAGTGAGATTGAATCTCACTTAAAATTTAAAAACTCCCAGCCAACAAAATTCCAGTAGTGGAAAGCTTCACAGGGGAATCTTAACAAACATATAAATAAGACCTTATACCTATCCTTCTGAATCTATTCCAAAAAATTGAAAGGAGGGAACACTCTCAAATTCATTCTACTAGGCCACTGTCACCCTGATACCAAAACCAGACAAAAACACTACAAAAAAGAAAATTACAGGCCACTATCTTTGATGAATATAGATGCAAAAATTCTCAACAAAATATTAGCCAACTGACTCCAATAATACATAAAAAGGATCATATACCACGATCAAGCTGGATTCATTCCAGGGTCACAAGGATAGTTCAACATAGGCAAATCAATCAATGTGTTACACCACATTAACAAAAGGAAAGAAAAAAAATCACATGATCATCTAAATAGATGCAGAGGGCTTCCCTGGTGGTGCAGTGGTTAGGAATCCACCTGCCAATGCAGGGAACATGGGTTCGAGCCCTGATCCAGGAAGATCCCACATGCCGTGGAGCAACTAAGCCCGTGCGCCACAACTACTGAGCCTGTGCTCTAGAGCCCGCAAACCACAACTACTCAGCCTGCATGCCACAAAGACTGAAGCCTCGTGCCTAGAGCCTGTGCTCCACAACAAGAGAAGCCACCATAATGAGAAGCCCGCACACCGCAACGAAGAGTAGCCCTGGCTCGCCGCAACTAGAGAAAGCCCTTGCCCAGCCACAAAGACCCAAATGCAGCCAAAAATAAATAAATAAAAAGAAATAAATAGATGCAGAAAAAGCATTTGACCAAATTCAAC